TTTGTTTGCTGAGCCCTTATCCATCTTGGCCTAATTAAATGACATTAACTGTTGTGTGAAATGGCCAGTTCCTCATTAAGAGTAAGATCTCCTCTTTTAACTTGCTTTGCTGTATAACCCTTTATAGACTACTGGCATCCCACTCTTTGCTCTGTGCTTTGTCTTCCTCCATCCACCCATCTGTTCCTGGAGCTTTTGTCCTTCTCACTCAGTAATCTCATTTGTTCCCATTCCAATGATGTGATGACAAGTGACAAATGTGTATTTCACTAAGTCCATACATTCACTTTTTAAATTGCATTAGTGCTTTAATAAACTGGAAATGACAGAACTCCTGAAGCACATATTTTTACTGAATTAAATATTTAAAATATTTTTTAAATCAGCTAATTGGAATAAGATCTGTCAACACTATTAAAAATGTTTTTTCCATGCATTCCCCATATTTTAATCATCAACTAACATGCAAGAGAAAAGACAGCCAGAGATTTCAGCACTAATTTCTATTCTAAGGAGTTCCTGCCTCTTGTCTCTGGCATCTTTCTGCTGTCCTTTCAGATCTCTTCCTCTGCCATGCCAACACAACTGCAAACCTTATCAAAGAACTGATCTGGCTTAAAAAATAACCCGTGTTTACCCTCAGAATATTCTTAGAGATCAATCAGTTCCTGGGATGATATGACTATGTAAACTGACACTGCCTGTAGAGCTGAATATCCAGACAAAGCATAGATGTCTGGTTTCTTTATATTGTGAGAATTCTGTTTAATTTATATTGGAATACATGTGAAAGTAGCACTTTGGGATAGTTCCTGTTTTGAGTTTACACACAACATAACAACAATCCAGTTCCTTGGTTGTCAGTGGATCTGGGATGTCTGCTCCTAGCTGTTTTTGAGGAACACCAATTTCTAACATTTCTTTTACAAGCAATGTGGGTACCTACTGCAGAGTTACTTAATCTCAAGCAGAAATGTTCTTTGCTCTCCAAAGCCTTTTGGTTCCACTGGACAGAAGTGCCATAATGTTGGTAAGGCACAGCAGACATTTGTATTTCACCACTTGCTATTTATCTCAAACTATGATATAGTTGTTTGATGGAGACAGATGTATGTGAGGAACAAGGTGGCCATTGTCCTGTGCACTGCAGTAACTATCCAAGGCTGAACTATCTAAGACATGGAAATGAAAAACAAGTGAAAATCACAGCAATGCTTGGATCCAAACCAAGATGATTTATCCTCCTAATTTAATTTACTTAGCATAACAGTCTGTTCTATACCCAGATATTACCCAAAATTACAGAAATTTGTTGCCTAAACAAAGTGAATATTTTGTGATGTAGTATAGGCAGAAGAGGAAAGTAAATTTTGCAGACAGGCAGTATGAGCCAAGGTTATTTATAAAGTTACACTGTTAAAAAGGATGCAAGAGTTGCATTCTCAATATTGCTCTCATGACTAAAAATACTTGCAAAACCAGAGGAAATGTGGTGATACTTTGTTTAAAGTGAAAACAATTACAAGAACATCTTTCTTCTTAGAAATAAAAATAAAATCTTAGAAATAAAATCTTGAAGGTTTTGATGTCCAGTTGTGATCGGTATGTTCTTCCACAGGCTTCAGTGGAGCCATGCATTGGCTGTAAAACACAAATGACTAATGCAAATAACATTTGCTGTGCATAAAGCTGTCTTTTGCCCATGTTGTATGTTGTCTGCGGTGGCAGGCAGCAGACAAGAAGTATTATTCCTCCTTAAACTGTCATGACAAGAACTTTAATTTTAATTATTTATGGAAGAGAAAGGAGTGGGGGGCAGTCTTTTCATCCTACCATCTCCTGGTTTTCCCATTTGTAAAATAAAAATGACATCCACCTGCCTGTCTTTACCATACTTGGTGCTGTGAAGTGGAAGCTGTTAAGACAGCAAGAACAGTGAAGTGCAATTATTCTATATATGTGTGTATGCCCAAGTTTCGTGTGTAGTTCTGTGATCTTGTTGTTCTTACGTACATACCTCCACAGAAGTTTGTGTCACTTAAAAGGAAAATGAGTAAATATGTCCCCTTTCCATTTATTTGTTTTTTAGCATCAGATTGGCTCATCTTGAGTTTTCATGCTGCAGTATTTTCACCTGAAAACAGCGTTGATTTTTACATAACCTAAGTATATGAAGGTAGGGTCACAGAACACAAAAAGAAACACAAGATACATCATGTTGCATTTACAAATCCCATAGATATGTTCAAGAAGAGCATAGATTCCTTAAAATAAAAAGAGAATAAATTTCTTGAAAAACAGGGAAAGAATTTGCAAGTCTGAGTGGCAGGGTGTGTTTGCAGTACAGATGATATTGAAGTATTTCGTCTTTTCAGCCTGTAGGTGGGACTGTGTTTTCAGTGAACCCATCTGTGAAAGAAATTCAAATGTGCATCGGCAGCTCAGGCTGCTGCTAACACTAGTTGGAGTGAGTCAAGTGATTCTTGACTTGTGCTTAAGTTATTTCTGGGGGGAAAATAGCCCGTGCCCGAAATTACTTTAGTCCTAAAGGACCAGCCTGAAATCTCTGTTCTCACTGAAATCCATGGGCATTCTGCCTGCTACAAATCCACAACTGCAGGATTTGTTCCTATTAAAAAGCACTTATGTAGCTGAAAAAAATAATGTCTGTGGAGAAATGTTAAATTTATAACTATGGAAAATACTGTAAGTGAACTAACGATGAGGCAGATTAAGTGACATTTCGATTGGAGATTAACAAGTAAATTCTCATGCATAACTTCCTGGCTCAGAAAAATAAATCAATCACAGGCTGGGATTCTTCCTCATAAAACCTCTTAGGGTAAAGTGGAACAACAGAAATGTTCATGGCATTTTGAGCACACAGAAACACTGTGACTCCCCTAACATTGAATGCAATTCCTCAGGTAAGTAAGGACCACATACTGTGGGCCAAATGTTTTTATGAAAGCACTGAAATTGGACTTTGATGCTAGTACTGCTACACAGTACTGGCTAGATGCCTTTTGTTTCTTTTTTTTTGCCTCATACTAGCCCTGCTTCTCCCACTCTTCTTCATTCCCAGCAGTACTTTACCTCACAAGGAGCAGCTCGTGTGAAGGGAGAGCAGCCCTGTGATTTATGGGCTTACTATCTCTTCCGTTGTGTTTACACAGCTTATGCTCAAATAACACAGCTAGGAGAGTATGGAGCTCACATGTAAAATGAAAAAGATATTCTGGTGGGGGAAGGAGGAAATCAAGAGAGATCTGACCAGATTTCGGTGTTGTAAACACATCTGTAGGGTCACCATAAAGCAATGACTACAAAGGTCAGCATTTCAAAATGTGTCTTAAGAAAATGTTTTTGTAAGCTTTGTGGTGAAGATGGCTGGCGTGTTGTATATTGTAACATTCTGCTTAATCTCTGCTATGTTATACGGAGTCATTTACAACAAAAAATGCCTGACATAACTTACAGCACAGGAACACACAAAACCAGCTTCACCAGGGTGGATGTTTATGTAATCTTCAAGAACACTCTGAAGTTTGATTCAGTAATCAAATAAAACTATGAGAGGCACATTTTTCAGAGACACTACCCATCTTTGAATTTCTGAGCTTCTTTATTTTACCGAGCCTTGTTTGATAAATGCCAATGATTATTTCTGTACATCGCCTTATCTGCTGTTTTCACTTCTCGGCTGTAATTGCAAAAGCACTTCCAGCTTTTCTTTATTTAATAGAGGCATCTTAAAGGTGAGCAGATGGTCATCCCAGGAGTGCAGGTTTCCCATTCATAGCTTGCACAGTGAAGGCAGCAACAAAAGTTAAGTTTACACATACTGCCCTGACAACGACCTCTGTGCTGAACTAAACAAACCCCTTCTGTAAAGCCAGAAGCAGTTCGCTCACCTTTCGAATGCAAACCTGGCACTGTCTGAATAACCATAAAACATCAAACCGTGCAGCCCTGCTCCTGGCTTCGAGGATATGTTCTGTCACAGGGCACAGAAAACTCCACAGAGAGCCATCCTTCAGGATTTTGCTGTCAAAAAGGATCAGGTATTCCAAAGCCTCTTTCACAAAGCATTCTGCACATTTCACATTACTTTATTCCAGAAAAGGCATGCCCATTTTAAATGGACGCTAACCAAATCTTAAGCACAGCAGCTTTATGGTCAGTGAGTACAGCTGAACAGGGATGCCCTTCTGCCCTGGCAGTGTTGTCAAAAGAATTCAAAAAGTTCTTTTTTTCACAAGAAAATAATCTCAGAACAGGACTTGTCTCCTTCACTGGAGGTAACCTCTGCTGCTTGGGGCATGAAATTGTGTCTCTCAGACACAGCGGGAAGTGACAAAAAATGGCATCTGGACCTTCTTGGTGCAGGGGTCTCTGAAAGACCCCAGAAGGACACAGGCAGGGGTCACATATCCAGTGCCAACTTCCTCATAGGGTTATGCCGTGCACGGACATCTTTCTAGGCGAGAAGATGGGAGCAGGACAGCCGTGCCTGTGCCTTGCTGATGAGCCCTTCAGGCTGGTGCCTTGCTTCAGAGCCCATCAGCAACCCCTGGTGCTGATGCCGGAACCCCTCCTTCCCCAAATGCCCCAGCCCTGCGGCGCACCGACCCCTGAGCCCTCGGGGTGGCTCAAGTGCTTTTCTTATGCAGCTTAAGCAGGCTGGAGCAACCCCAAAAAACTATGAAAGTGCAACGGGATCCTTTTACTCCCCGGCTCCAGTTGCAGGGGATTCGCTTGGCAGGGGGGGCAGGGAGCCGAGCAGGAAGGTACACGAATTGCACACACATCAGTGTCAGATGCGTGCGATAAGGACACCCCCCCGCCCGCCCGCGGAGGTGTGCAGAGCGGGGGGGCCGCCGAAGAGAGGGGGCGGGCAGGAGGGAGCGCCCGGTCCGGCTCCTCCCTGCGCACAAACCCGGCCGCGCCGCGCTGGGTGTGCGGAGACGCCGCCGCCGCTCCCGCGCTACTTAAGCGCGGAGGGCGCAGCCCGGCAGCCCCGCGGGGAGATCCGGCGGGGGGGCGAGCAATCATAGTAATAGTCGTCTATCTCTAAGAGAACGAGAAAAGCACAGCCGAGATGCTCCGTCCGTGACCCGCAGGCGGGGAAAGGGGTGGGGGGGCCAGGTTGTGAGTCCGCCAAACACCTGAGAAATAAAGCACGACCGAACAATTTTCGAGGCGGGCGGGGGAAGTGGGGGGCGAAAAGTTTGCCGGAGCTCGGGCGTCTCTGGGGGGGGCGGGCGCGATGCCGCCCTGGCTGCTCGGCAGCCTCTGCTGCGTCCTGGCGGCGCGGGCGGCGCTGGGCGGCGGCTCCGCGGGCGCGGAGGAGGAGGAGGAGGAGAAGCTGATCCGGGTGCTGGTGCTGCTGCCGCAGGACGACGCCTACCTCTTCTCGCTGGGGCGGGTGCGCCCGGCCATCGAGTACGCGGTGCGGAGCCTGCGGGAGAGCGGCGCGGGTCTGCCGCCCGGCTACGCCTTCCAGCTCACCTACGAGGACTCGGCGTGCGGCAACCGCGCCCTGTTCAGCCTGGTGGACATGGTGGCCCTGCAGCGCCGCCGCCCCGACCTGCTGCTGGGGCCCGTGTGCGAGTACGCGGCGGCGCCCGTGGCGCGGCTGGCGGCGCACTGGGACGTGCCGATGCTGTCGGCGGGCGCGCTGGCCGCGGGCTTCGGCGCCAAGGCCGGCGAGTACTCGCACCTCACCCGCGTGGCCCCCGCCTACGCCAAGATGGGCGAGATGCTGCTGGCCCTCTTCCGCCACCACCAGTGGAACCGGGCCACGCTGCTCTACAGCGACAGCAACCCCGAGCGCAGCTGCTACTTCGCCATGGAGGGCGTCCATGTGGTCTTCCAGGAGGAAGCCTTCCACATGGCCGTGCACAGCTTCGACGAGACCAGCCGCCACCTCGACCTCGACGACGTCGTCCGCGCTCTCCAGACCGGCGAGAGGGGTGAGTGAGTGTCGGCGAAGCGCCCGGCTTGGCTCCTCGGTTAAGGCTGAGGCGGTGGGAACACCCGGGGAGGAAGGACCTGCGGGATGGGGGGAGTCGTGGTCCGTCCGCGCCTCTGGGGAAACTCGCTGCGGTGCTTGGCGGCATCCCCGGGTCGGGCATCCCCCGGCAGATGACAACTAGCAGCCCGGAGTGAGAGCTCTGCCCGCAGAGGTTCATTAGAGCTTTGCCTCCCAACGGCGGAGAGGGCGGCTTGCCCTCGGGGACCGCGATAGGAGAGTTTTGTGGCATAGTAGGAAATCTGCTTTCTGCTGACGGTCTGGTTTACTCAAAATTGCCCAAATCTACAGGGTTGCAAATGTGTTGCTTATTCTGTGACGTTTCTGCAATGACTCTCTAAGTTCAAAGACTAAGCAAAGATGTTTTCTTCTCACCCCACTGTGTCATGTAGCGGGAGCTATTTTCACACTCCTGCCACTGGACGCCCCTTCGAGTACTTTATAAATAACAAATGCGTTTAGGTGAGGGGGTCATTTCAGGGGATGGGTGCGTGGGAATCGCTTGAGCGCGTGCTGTGTTATTTGCCACCAACTGTTAGCAAAACAGCGTGGAGATAAATGGCTTGTAAAACGTCTTGGACAGTCACCCCTGGGCTGGATGAACTGACTTTGCATCATGAAACACTAAAACAAAGTGCTTCAAAACGTGCAGTTTTGTGTTTTAGATGTATTTTAAAGTGAGATCTTGCCAAGCAATGTGTGGGTATATGGGCTTATGAGAAAGATGTTTTCTGTTAGAGGGTTTTAGCAGACACAGGCTTCCCCAGTAAGTTATTGCAAAAGAAAAGATGTATTCTGGGAGTGGACCACATGATAAAGTTAAGTACTTCAATATCTTCCAAAAGAGCCATAGATGTGCAAAGCCCTTTGTATAACTGTTACATATCTTTGTTTTAGAGTGTTAAAATAGCATAAGAATTGGACAGATAAAGATCATGCGATGTGTGGTTGGCAGAACTGGTGTTCTGGTGCTGTAGGCTGTGGATGGAGCAGCCTTGCACTGCTAATGTTGCGCTGCTGTGAAATCCTTAACCGTGCAGGAGTGTGTGTGAGATAACTGAGGTCTAACAGCATATGGCTATTTAATTCTCTATTCGCTATTCTATTCACTAGGTGCTTAAAATAGAGCTTTCCTTGTAAGTATGATTCAGGGAAATACAATGAATGGAGAGAGAAGTGTGTCAGTGCTGAAGAAATTGCTGTATGGGGAAAGATGCTTGTCGTGTCTGTGTGTGTAGCTTTCCTGATGCTGAGAGGAGCATAGCAGTATACTTAGAGCAGGAAAAGACAAGTGCTTACTCCAACCCCACTCTTCAGACCATGCTGACAGTCAGGAAAGAGAAGCTTGCTTTCAGTGTGACAGATGTTTTGCTGAGGTGAGACCTTTGGTCTTTCACCATTCTGGAACTTGCAAATGACCCAACAGGAGTATTTCCCCCCCCCTTGTGCCCTGTGGGGTCACTCCATCTCACCTTGTCATTTGTTATCTGGCTCATGCCACTACCGCAAAATGCAGCAAGCGAGGCCCTCCAGCTTCCACTTGTGCCTTTCTGACACTAAAGACTGACTGCAGGACTCACTTGGCACGTTCCTTTGGGACCTTTCAGGTTACCACAATGCACACAGTTGTGCATTGTGTGGGTGCACTGTATGCTTTAGCTGACCAGATGAGATCTTCATGTCTCCTGGGGACTCCTTGGAACTCCCTGTTGTGGCCAACAGGGCATTGTCCAAAGCGCTTTATAGAAATGTTTTTGTTTGATTGGTTCCCAGTTTTTGACAGCTCCTGTGTCACAGCTACTGTGACACTGTGTTGGGCTCTGACCCTGCACCATGTCATGTTTCCAGAGATTGCTGCTGGCTAGGGTCCCACTCGAGTGGTCAGGCTTCCTTGACCTGCCTGCGTGGGAGTGGGCTTTCAAGCAGATACCTACTTGAAACTCTCCCAGAGCTGAGAAGGAAACTGCCCCAGCAGCTGTCCTGTGGGGCCCGAGACAGGGGCTGATCCTATGGATTAGGCTGCTGCTGGCTGGGGCTGAGCTCCCAGCGGTCTGGGAGGAAGAGGTATACTCAACCATGCACCCCTCTTTACCGGGGACTGCCTGTTCAGTCCCTGGAGCCACTTGAAAAAACTGAAGTCTTAGAGCCACAACAAAATCATGAAAAATATGATACTAAAAGTTAGGCACTTGTCTTCAATTAATTTCATTAGTAATTCAAGCTCCCTTACAGGCTCAGTTAGCTGCACTGCAGACTTGATGCTGTAGGCTCAGGTCACAAATGCAGGACTGTGCTTAAATGCATAAGTATGTAGTCCATGGGATATGTGTAGCAAAGGGGACGCTTACTCCTTTAGCTGGAACTAAACTCTAAAAATTTGCAGGACGAGTCAATAATCCTAGTCAATAAATTCAGCATGCTAGTATTAGAATTACTGTGCTCTGTGTGTATTATGCTGGAGGGAGAATGTTTTGTCTATGTTTGCACTTACGTGTTTGTATGTACACAATAGTATGGTACAGATGCAGATTAAATACATAATTTGTGTTTTTTGAAGATCTTGAGAGGCATGTCTGCAGTTTATTTGCTTCAAAATCTTGAAATATGTAATCTTTGCTCTCCTGCTGGGTTAAAACCCCCATCCAAATAGTTAATATTACTTCCCTTGCATTCCTTTAGAGGCTTACAAAATATGATTTAATGTATTTTAAAGTAGTTCCCCACACACACTCTTTCTTTTATTCTTTTTGGTCAAAGTCTTTTACTGGTGTTGTGGGAATCTCTTTGATTCCATCTACAGATTACAATTTTATGATAGATGTGAATTACAAAGGCAAAGTCAAGGGAGAATTGAGAGGGCAGCAAGGAAACGTTTCAAAAGGAAATCTCTCACCTATACTGAAATTAGAAACAGTGAGACAAATTCGTTCCTGATGTACATCTGGAAAAGATTTGGTCCAAATTTTATTGTAAGAATTTTTTTCTTCCTCTTTTCCTTCATGCTAATATACTTCACAATAGTCATGAAATATGTCTTGCTCTGTTGCTCTGGAAATTATTATATTACTCTGCTATAATCAGTAGGACAGAGCTATGCATGGTATAACTCTCCTGAAGCACGGGGATGTACTGAACGTGACTCACTCCGGCGGCACATCTGGAGGTTATGCCTGAGATGGCATCCAACCAGAAAAGCAATGGGAGAAGATTCATTGTGTGCGAAAAGATTTGGCCCGTTTGGCCTTTTCATTTCTTATAATAGAAAACACTTCTACCGAGAAGAGCTGAATGTGGTTTTGATTCATTTTTATTGTTGGGTTGAAAATATTTGCGTACATTATTGTAGCTTTTGAGTCCTGCCATGCGTGACGGCGTTCTTGGAAACGTGTGCGCAGTTGGTTTCGAATCATCGTCCTAGCTGGATCTCTTATGACTGTTGTAGGATATGTCCCCAACGTACACACCGATGAAACACTTTCCTGCTCCCTGTGATGTCAGTAGCTTCTTACCTGTAGTCTTGTGAACTTGCATAGCAGTTTATAGTGTAACATGCTCTGTGTGGGAGTTGTCTCCCTATTGCTGAAGACCTCACCTGAGTTTCTGCTTTCTCTTTGCAGAAGGAAGGGATAGCAAGGAGTGTAGTCCCCTGCCCAGCAGGTCTGGGGAGAGACCTGTCAACCACAATTGTCACAGTGTGGATCAAGGTGCCCACACGGAGCACACCTGTGGGCTTGTAGGTCCCATTGCAGCAGCAAGGCCTCTGCTTAGCTCTTGGTCGGTGATAAATGAAGCTCTGTGGTGTTTAATCTTGTACCCACCTTTAATCTTGATGCTTAGAAAGTGGCACTTAATTTTCCTATTTCTTAATATTAAGCATCCCATCAAAGATTGTTGCTTAGACTTATTGTATGGTCTCTGGAGAGAAAGTCACATTCTGGAAAGATTCATACCACTGGCCCTGCTGCACAGGTGCACAGATGCTCATCTTCCTTAAGTGCAGAGAAGCAACAAATTCTATATCTAAATATTAGATATCTGAAGTGGAAGTGGTTGAATCTATGCCAGACTGTTCAGTGGAATGGAAATTGAAATGGTAATGCCATGGTATCACCTTAATTCTCCATCTTCAGATTGTTTTATGTTCACTAAGAAGTAACAACAGAGGCTTCTGGTTGCAGTGTACTCTACAAATATATGCAGCTAAAGAAATTTGGAGCCAGAACTTATCACATCTTGCACAGGTACAAAACTAGATCACACAGAGGCTCTATTTAATTATCTTCTTCAGAGGAGACAAGGGAGGAGGAAACCTCCCTGTGTTTGCTACCTGTCTTTTCAGCTGTTTGGGAAATCAGCTTTGTTTGCTATCTGTGTTGTCATGTTTGTTGCAACACTGGGAGGACAGCTGAGGTCGCTGTCTCTGGCAGTATTCATGCTTAACAGGCTGTTCCCTGAAGTTCTTGAACTGCTTCTTATCTGTGTTTCTCATTTTCTTCCACCAGTTGTAATCATGTGTGCCAGCGGTGACACTATCAGGAACATCATGTTGGCTGCTCATCGGCAAGGAATGACCAACGGGGACTACGCTTTCTTCAACATTGAACTCTTCAACAGCTCATCATATGGTAGTGTTTTTCTTGCCCAGGTGTATTGCAAAGTCTTTGTAAGCTTGGTAGTATTTCTAGATTTGTTAGCCTCAAAATACGCAGCACTGAGTCCCAGAAAACACCACTGTCTCTCCCTGTTGTTGCGGTTGTCTTCCTCTTGGGCTATGGCATTGCAGGAAGTAAAACAAACCTTGTGGCTGTAGTTGATACTGGGTGGGTCACAGCATAGCACAGGGGTTACTTTTTTTATTACTTTTCAGGGAATCAGCACCAGGCAGAGACATTGGTTATGGTGTGGGTCCCCCACTCAGCAGTGTGCTCAGGTCTAGGCGACTTGCACTGTCCCCACACTTGTGACTGCCAAATCTTGGGGCAGGGGTATTCCTGGCTGCCTGGTGACCTGTGGTCTAAGCAAATGGCTGGAAGGAGGCACTAATGACAGCCAGTGCTGTGGGCAGCTGCAGGCCTTGGGTCTCCAGAAATCATCTCTGTGCTGGAGCGTCCACGCATCTAATTTATTTCAGATTTTTTCAGAAACAGTATCTGCAAAAATATTCAGCCGTGCTGTGTTGAAGGGAAAGTGCTAGATGGGACAAAGGCAGTCCAGATTTATTAAAGTGGATAAAAGTGACTGACTCCACCACTAAGTGAAAAGGATCATATTTGTCAAACTAAACCATGATTTCAAAATGTGAATTAAATACATTTTCTTTTTAAAATACACCTAATATTCCTATATACCATAGTATCAAATGTAACTGCATGTTACATCAGTGCATGGCAGGGACTATACCTGCTCTTAGGTGCTGCAACTGTCTCAAATTTCCAGTAATATTGGAGCAACATGTTTGCCGAGTTTAAACATTAGATGGCTGAAGCTGGGGTAAGTTAGTGTCTTGAAACTAGGCCTTATTAAAGTGTCAACGTGGCTTTTGAAGAGAGAACCTTCTTTTGCTTTCTTTAGAAAAAAAAATATTTAAAAAATAATTTCCCCCTGCAGATTGCTTTAATTAATCCACTACAATAACAAATTATTTCAAATTAAAAATGAAGTGGGAGTTGAGAAGTGAAAACTTTGGATTTTTTCTTTCTTTAAGCCTCAAAGGCTGAGCAACAAGAACAAATAAATTCAAAAAAGGATAATTTTTTTTAGTTAATCAGTTAATCATAAATTAAGGTTTTTTGCATAAACTTTTTGTTACCCATCTACCACCACTGAGATTATTTCACCGTAACCAGTGCTGTTTGTCACGCTGTATAATGAAGGTATGTAACTCCTAGAATTCAGAGATCTAGATATGTACAGAAGTACAGATACTGCTACATGTCTAGGTTAGCTAAAGAGTGCCGAGTTTTGCCAGGTAATAAGGAAATTGCTCAAATAACTAAAAGATAAAGTTGCAAAAGAGGATCATAGCCAGGGGTTCGAATCAAGGTTTGCTTGTTCAGTTGAGTGACTTTGGAGTGACTTTATCCCTGGGGACAAACAAAGCTATTTGGCATTGCAGCTTTATTCAGGACCAGAGCAAAAAGTTGAAGTTCTACCCATATCAGCAGTCACAAAATCCTGCAGTTTTTGCCCTTGTGTTAGACTGTGGGAGTTTTGTAGACTTGACTTTACTAGAAACCACTGATCAAATAACTCTTCTGACTGCCAGCATTGACTCACAGTAGAAATGCATCAGAAGTGATTCACCTGGCCACATGCGCAAGTCTGCGTGTGAGCTGGGCTGTCTTTGGAGAGAAATAGGCACCTCTGGACAGCAATTCACCTCATCCTTAGGTATCCACTGTGGCTCAGGTGGATCCCTTACAACTGATGGTTTCCTTGCCTTGGCTGAAATGGGCTCAGGGTGACTACCTGGGAAGTAGTAATGTGGAGATTACAGCTGATGTGGGGTGGGTGTCCCCAGTGATGCAGCCCCAGGTAGATGGCACTTTGCCCAGCCAGGTACAGGGCAATGCTGGAATTCTGACATGCAGCCTCTGTGGGGGACAGTGGTGGGAGCAATTCTCATTTGCCCCACGGTTTGTGGGAGCCTCAGCACCACCCTCCTTTGCATCACAGGTACTCCTATCTTCTTGTAGCTTTTCTAAGGGATTAATGAGAACTGGCTGTCTTCTGATGTAGTGTAGTTGGAATGTGGCATTTCCTGACATTTCTTTTAAACCAATTTTTTCTGTTTGTGGATGTGTTTCCCAGGAAATGACTGTGCATCAGAAGTTGACTTTTATGCAGATGGTAACTGCATATGAAAAGAAAACATAAGAGAAGTCTAGAGAATTTCCCCTAAAGCTCATTGTTCCCAGTGCCTGGAGATAGTAGATTTTGTACTTTATAAAATCTAAGAGTGGGAGCGATTGGGCAATTGGCACTGCCTTTATGTTCAGATGATTTTATTGCAGTTTGTTGTTGCCCTCTGTTCTGAATATTTTTAATTTTTCAGAAGAACAGGCATATTAAATGCCAAGGCTGCAATACACAATTGAACTGTAACGAGATGACCCCCCACAAAGTAATCCATGAAGGAATTTAAATATGTAAATTATTCTAGGAAAACTGTTATGCAAGTGTGCTGTCCCCACTCTCAGTGTCAGGATTTTTAAAACGAAACATGTATAGTGTCCAGGACAGAAACTTACACTACCTTCTATATTTGCATCTATAATCTTACACTTTTTAGCCATCCCATCTCCATTTGTAAATGCAAAGCCCTCCTTTCTGTAGTCTCTGCTCTACTTGAATGTTGCACCTCTAAAATGCTGGTACCCAGCTGGGGCATAAGCTTTTTGAGACTCCTGCAAGGCTTGTACTTCTCTTTTGGGGAATGCAGCAAGATGTGCTAGCTTACAATTGCTGGAAGTGCATTTCTTTCTCTTGGAAAGCAGTAAGGAGGACAGGTGCAGGCGCTGAACAGAAGAGTGGCAAAACCAGACACTGGGATGTTAGTTGCTCTCCTGTATTTCCACTGGGTCTGATGAATAGAGTTTTGGTGTAAGTTATTTTGGCTGGTTAAATTTTGTATGGGGAAAAAGTCCCTAAATGGAGGCATATGCATCTAGAGCTTCTTCCTAAAAAAATGAAATCACTTTAAAAAAAAAAAGAAAAGGAAAGAAATAGCCAAGTTCATGATATGTCCTGAGTAGTGCTGGGCTGTGATAAATAAGGCTTTCCTGGTGTGGAAAAGAGAAGGAAAGGGGCTTAGGTGCTCCTGTGTTTCCTGTCTTGTGCTGGGAATGACAGGAGCTGCCCTGGAACCAAAAGCTGCAGGAGAAAAGACTTAACTTCCAGAAAAATGCAGGTCCTTTGCTCGTTCCCATGTGCTTTCTGAGAAAGCAGAGCAATTCTCCAGTTAATTCCCAGCAGCAGTGCCAGGGTGCTGGGAGGACAAAATGCAAGTTCTGTTCACCTGCTTCAGGGGGCAGAGGTGGTATGTCTATGACTTTGCTCTTGCAGCCATGTGATGCAGCTGGTAGTGAGTGCTGTGCGAGGAGCACCATGGTTTTGATGCTTGGATTCCATCTTCCTTAACGTCTCCACTCCCAAATCACTTCTCTTGGTCCAAATGACACCATGGTCCTCAACTCAAGGAAAACCTCTCTCATTCCAGGTTCCCTTGTGCTTCCAGATCACCCTTGGGAGTTTAGCATTAGTCTTTGCCTTGGCTCATTTAGCCATAAATGGGGATTATTGCTGCTGTTCGAACAATAAGTTGTCTAGCTTTTAATTATTTGTAAACATTTAAAGGCACACTGCTTAGGGCTACCACTGTACCCTCTAGCCTTTTTTAGTTATCATTTACATTTGAGTTATCATTTATATTTTAGCTATAATTATTATTCGCCTGCTCCAGAACAATGTGAACCTTTCCACGGACATCCTGAAGCTTTGGATCATGGTCTCAGGGCCTGCTATGGCCAGTCTCTGTTCTGCAGAAGGACTCCTCTGCTAATAAACAACTAGTCAGCTATCCTGCTTTTTAAAAATGTGGTTTCTTTACTGGTGGTCTGAGTTAAATTGTTCCCTTGCTGTGACACAAAACACGTGTAAATACAGCGTAGGCGCAGGATTCCATTTTGTTTCCAAATGTTCCTTTTCCTCTAAAAGCTGGACTGGTATGGCAGCCACAGCACACATGGTTTTTTCCTTGTCTGCAGTGGGAGAGCTGCACCGTGTGCCTCCCATTCAGGGTGATGCTCTCATATTGACTTTACTGGTGCCTTTCTGACTGTCCAGGAATGTCGCTGGTGGAGTGTTGTGTAAGAAAGTCTTGGTGCTTGAATCCTCCCTCCCTTCTTCTAACTTAAATATCTCTGCGTTTGAGATCCAGCTTGTGTGTTTTGTTCCCAGATGTCTTCTCACACTCAGGCTTCACCCCACCCTTTGAAAATAATCAAATACAGTAAGGGAATAGTTGACCTTCAGTTTGCATGTTTACTTCCCACCAACTATTCCTCACTGCCTGGTTTTCTTCGCATCTGGAGAAGGTTCAGTTTTCCCTTGTATTCTGCTATCTCCCCAAGGTGCACGAAAGGGGACTTTTGGGTGGAAAAAGGAAGGCAATCCTATAATGGTACCTAGTTTGGAGCAGGAAATATGCTTGTTTTCCCCTTTAGGAAATGGTTCTTGGAGAAGAGGAGACAAACATGACCTTGAAGCCAAGAAAGCATACTCGTACCTCCAGACTGTCACTCTGCTAAGGACCGTGAAGCCTGAGTTTGAGAAGTTTTCATTGGAGGTGAAAAGTTCTGTTCAGAAGCAAGGTCTTCATGAGGATGACTATGTAAGTACTTGACGAATCATGGCATCTTCAAAAACTTGCTCCTAATTAAAGAAAAAACATCAGTGAGATCTTCCCAAGACAGAGTCACCTGGGTTCAGTTGCAAAATCCTCCTGTTGCATATATAATTATTTTTTTTTTGGTGGATAACGTAAATAGCAAGAACAGACTTGGTCTAGGTGCACTAGATCTGTACACCACTATCCATGACTAGTTGGCCTGTGCTCATCCCTTAGTTCATCAGCAGGAAGGCTGGGGAAAGGCAGGTTGCCAGGTCTCTCACTTTACCACCAATTACTTGTCTTCTTCTAACAGGCAAATAACTATAGTCTTCTTTTTTGTTTTCTCAGAATAATTATTTTTTCTTAGACTCAGATCTCAGAAAGGTACACTCTCAGTATTGCATCTGACGAAGTTATTCTTGGTGTGAGTGAGAAAAGGGGTCTTATTTTCCAACAAAGCATATTTAGGTAGTTGCTGTTTTTCAGTTTGAACTGTCTAAAGTATCAGTAAAGTCCTTCCAAGTTGTTTTAAGCCTTGGGGTATGCCCCTGTTGTCCCGAGATGGACGTGGGAAAGATTTTTTTAATCTCTCAAAATGTAGAAGGAAAATGCCTTTGAAAATTGCTTTTGAGGTACTGCTAAGCTAGTTCGTTAGGCATTTTTGTAGAAAAGTCATCTGTGAAGGCAAAAATGTATAGCACATACCTATAAGGATTCCTTCATGCTGATACAAGTGCTTCCCAGACAGTCAGCCTTCTCTCTGGTGCAGAGTAAACCTTCCAAATATAAAGAAAAGAAGCTTGAAGAGAGTTTGGTCAGCCTTTAGCTGTAAGAAATGAGAGCAAGGAATTAATGCCTGAAACTCGTAAATCAACCCAAACCCTTCATTTTCCAACTCCCACTTAGGCACCTACCTCACATCTTTGCTTCAAACATTGTGTCCCTCACAGGTGGAGACATCATCTTCAGTTGCATTATGTTGTGTTAAAGAACCTTTCCTGCAGTTTATTGTATAACTTAGGCTGCCTTTACAAAATTTGTGCTTCTTAGAAATAGAATATATTTTATTTAAATATTAAAATGCTAAACTTGAATCACATCAGTAGTTTGTATTTTTCCTGTGATACTTTCAAAGTCTAGTCATAGTCTTTTGAAGGCATTTTTTTTTCTTGGGTTAGTAGAGAAACCCAACTAGCAATTTCAAGGTGCTGCTCTCTGAAGAACCTGCTAAATGAGTTCGGAAGAAGGCTTGGAACTGTAATTTGTGCTGTTCCTCCCTTTGCTCTCTATGTGCCCCTTTGCAGGTGTTGCTTAGCAAGCAATGTACCTTGAATATGTGCTATGTGCCCTTGGTTATGGTTGGTGAAAAATGTGATTTTGAATATTAAAGATCCATTCACCTGCAGTTTTGTGACTTTTTTAGTCTGGGCAGTGTGACATCTCCCCAGATCAGAAAAGCCTTATACTGCTGAGAGCTTAGGATGCTGCCTGTGGGTAGCTTGGTGGCAGGCGTGGGGATGCTTTGCTGTTATGTAGGATAGGGACCCTCTGCAAACATTGTACAGTGTTGATTTGTTCTGGACAGATACAAGATACTCTGTCATGGTCAAGCAGAAGTGGAAAGCAGAAGAGAGCAAATTCCCCTGTGCCAGCATGGGGGAGATTTTGCAGGCTGATGTGCTTGTTGGGGAAATGCAACTGCACACCCACTACCAGAAGTGCTCTTTTCTGATTCCTCACTCCATGGTCTGTCCTGTAAATGCTTCTGGCTGTCTGAGAGCAGCTGTGGGGAATGTCTCCCTACCATCTCATCCTTGAGCACCTTCTGCCTGGCTCTGAGGGCTTCCTCTCTCTGTTTCCCATTTCCACCTCTGATCCAGAGTTTTTCATCTTGTTCCAAGCACTCCTTCACACAAAAACATCAGCTTTTGCTAGGATTGGGCAGTGTCATGGACCCCCTCCTGCTGCTGCTGCCTCTTCTGCTCCTCTTCCTCTTCTTCCTTTCCCACCTGGCTTTCTGCACTCTTCCCAGTCTGTTCTTGCTGGGACAGAGGGAGGATCTTGTGATCTCTGTACATGTACCACAGCTTCCTGCCATCTGAAACATCAATCCTTGATTCATAGGAAACCTCAATAGTGGAGGCCTTAGGGATCTGGACTCTCAGTGGAGGAGCTACAGATCATGGCTATGGGGGAAGGAGGTTTGATTTGAAATGCAGAGCTTCCTGGATGCTTACCTTACATAGCTCTTAGCAGACCCTTCTCTACCTGCTTTCTCACAGCACTGTAACAATGGTAAAATAAAATGTCTTCATGAGAGTTGGTCTTGGGTTGAGTATCTCAAAAGAACATTAACTGTGTTTCTCCATTAACAGCATGTGAATTTTAACTTTCTGGTTTGCTTTTCATAATTTATGGTGAATTATACATTTCCCCAGTTTGAACAGTGGGAAAGAGATGCTTCATATTCCCTTAACTGATTGTCCTGCTGCCCTGTTCAGAGGAGAAACGTTTTGGGGCAGCTTTCAGAATTAAAAAAAAAAAAATCCATTCTGAAAATTAATTGGGAAAAAAAAAAAAGCCAGACTGAAGGCCAATTCCTTCCTCTCTGAAAGATTTGTGGATAGTGGGCACCCATTAATAATGCTTCATGGTAAGAAAGCGCTTTGGGTGTGCATTAAGCAAGGCTGTGTCCTCCAAGGGAAGACTTGGAGGCAGAACTCCTTGAGTTGAGTGGGTAGAAAGTGACAGTGATGGATTTTTCTCTGCTGGATTCTGCTCCTGAAAACAAAAACTATGCAGAAAGATAGTCAGTAGTTCAGTCCATCTCAAGTCCTATCTATGGGTGTTGAAATATAGTCCTCATTCTTTTCTGCAAGCTTTGTCCCAAGAGGATGAACTTAGGGGGGTTTGGATTTGAAGCATTCAATGTTTCTGCTTTTCTGTGTGGATTTTTTCAGTGTCATGGGAAAGTGGGGCCCCAGGTCTGTGGTCTAAATTATCTCACAGTGACCCTAAGTCAAACAAAAGTCATTAGTGCTGCCATTTTGTCCTGGCTGCTTGCCAGTACTAATCCTAATGGCATTATTATCTAACAAAAAAGAATATCATAAAAATGGAAAATAAGCAGATGACAGAAGGAAAGATAAGGGAGACAGAAAGGGCAGAGTTCTAAAGCAGCAGCTGTCCCATTGCCAGATGCAGAACACATAATGGCCCTTGGAGAAGTAACAGGTCAAAGAGTGTTGGCCGTCTCCATCTCCAGCTGTGAAATTACACAGAAAAGAGAAAAACGTGTTCGGGGTATGGCATTCCCAGGTCAGAAGTTACTGTGGTTTCTGCATGGGTGTTATCTTGTGGAAATAGAGAAGGTGGAGGAACCTGTGCCTTATGAATGAGCAGGAAAGTGTGGAAAAAGAAATTTCTTTGACTCTTCCAGGAATCTCTCTTCTGAGGGGGAAAAGCTTCTTTAAGCACCTTTTAACTAGACAGCATTGAAAATAAGAGAGGTTCTGAGAAAGCATCTCAGAAGTATTTGGGTAGGTTGTAGTTGCACAGGATGAGGCTAAAAATGACGATGTTCCCTCTCTGCGATGTCCCATTGCAACATCCCATTGCAAACAGTTGCCTGAGACCACTAGCAAATACTATTAGTTTGGTTGTTCACCACTCTCTGAGTACTGTCATATTAATGCAACCCAAAGAACTGTGGGCTGAAGCATTAAATCTGCTCAGCCATTGTTTGAGCATTCAACAGTGTCATTATGTTTTTTCAAGAAGCATCCTGTAGTTTTGTGGAAAGCCTGACCATTTTATTTTGTGCTTACCCGGAGAATGAATTCGCTGATAAAATATCCAAAAAAAAAGGAGGAATTTTTTCAAAAATCTATTCAAATTTGGGGTTCAATAAGGACATTAGAATCACTTTAATGCTTTTATACCAATGACAGCAGTTTTATAGTGTTAATGCATTAACAAGACATTAACAGCAGTGTGTTCTGGTCTCTATAAACCAACTGAGATCCTTGGTTTAATTGCAAAATACAGGACAAGCTCTCCTTGCAGACCTGTAGCCTGGTTGAGCCAGACAGCAGTGGGAATTGCATGCAGTTACTTGAAGGAAGAATTTGAAACTGTCTCTAAATTGGTATGTGAATAACTCCCAACACATACTGTAGTTAAAAATGTTTATGAATAAACAGTGTTTCAGTTAAAGTATATGCATAAGCCATTTTTATTAAATAATGCTGAACACTTAATGAATTGGCGGTAGGCTGCAGTTTGGAAGCTCTTAATGCACCTTCTGTTCCTGACTCAGGCCTAGGATTCAATAAATGCTTTTTTTATGTCCAACCCAGTATTCTGAGCTGGGATGATTTTACAGCCCAGGATATTTGCTCTTCTGAGGTTACAGACCACCCATGGCTTGTTTTTTCTTGTCCTTTAAAAGCTGAAAATGTAACTAATCAAACAAATATTTCTGCTGTGTTAACTACACGACAGCATTGTTCATGAGGTAGAGGCATGGGTTTTATCCTACCCACAGCCTTTTTCACCCTGAAAATGAGCATCAGGAAAAGCAGACTGGAGCCTGATTTGCCAGTTCAGTTATCTCAGTGAAAGAATGAGCTACATAGATTAATTAGATCAGCAAAATGCTGCTACCTATTGGAAAGGGCAACTCTGTTTTATTTAACATTTTCAGCCCTCTGAAATGAGAAGTGGTGCACTTAGGAGCAACAGTTCTAGCTCCAGCAGTTAACTACAAAAGCTACATGGGAGGTAGCTCATAAAGTTTATCATCTCATCCATAACATCCGTGCCAGGCTTTTCTCTGTGTGTATTCCTTACGTCAGCCTTTTAATTAGGATTGCACACCAGCTAAGATAAGGTTGGAATAAGCGAGCAATTCAGTTGTGTCACTGAGATGCTGAAAATGTAACTTATTCAGTGGTGTCTGTCCCACTTCTCTTTTTTCAGGCACAGGCAGGCAAGATTAA